AATAGAAAATAGTTTTTAGCAATAAAAGGAATAAACCTTAATAACCTAGTAAAAACAGTTAAAATGTGTGTTGTGCATAACATCAAAATACCTAAAAAGTTTAAGGTGTTGGAGTTTATCAACTGCAATGGCACGTAATAATCCATTATATACTTATAGGTATATTTCAATTAAATGGCTTTAGTAGTCCATGAAAATATGCTTTTAATCCACTTTTTTTCCATAGAATTTTAAGTGATACAATGCTAAATTAGTACATGAATATGAATAATACTAAGATATGAAGGTGGCTAGATTTGGTAGATGCTTTTATAAAATAGTTTAAGTTCAATATGAATGTGGCTCTAGATCAATCAAGTTTGCAAAAAATAGAAAAAGAATCCAAAGAGTCTCTTATGGAGTATGTTTAAATGTATCATGAAGTGGATGACATGTCTATCATCTTCTAATAAGAAAATGATCATGCTCTTCTTAAATGTATTCAAAGATCCATACTGTGAATATTTAGTTGGCAATTTAGAACAATGTGTTATTGATATTATTGTTGTAAGTGAAAGAATTGAGCAGGCAGTAAAGGTAAGAAGAATCTTAAACACTATTAAAGTTAACAAAAAGAAAAGATGGATTATAGGAAAGTAAAATGACAATCACTAGGTGGAAACCAATAAATTTTTACGCAGAGAATATTAGAAAAATAATTAGATGTCTAATAATGACAATCTTCGACCACTCATTTTGACACCATCTATAACCACATTGATTATTAATCTAATTTTCACAATTCCTTACTTATCAATAAAATAATTTTCTATAAAATTAACCATTCTTTAACCAATCTACATCAAACACTCAAGTTAGCCTGAGCAACCAGCCTTATAAAAATATAAAAAAATTAGGAAACATTGTCAATTCTTCTACTACCATTAGGAGCAATGTTCATTAGCATTGGAAAAATTGCTCTTAAGCCACAAAGACCCCTTTATCCACTATACCTTTATTGCACAAACCTAACCTTAAATGTGAAAACCATTATAGTTGTTAGACATAACATTGATAATTATAATGTATTCAAATGCAAGATGCATCTCAATAGGAAGGGTTGGATAACATTTGATGGGAGCTGGAATGCCCCAAATATGAACACAAACCCTTTACCAAACCACGTTGCTATAAAGGAATAAGTTATTTGTATGATATTGTATGACGTTGAGTATTATAGACAAAAAGGCATCTTGAAGATGACAATGAAAATTTTGTTTGACAAGTGATCCAAGAAAATTACATAAAGGCATCTTTCAAAACACATGTCATTAAGAATCTTGATAAGTACTATAAATTCATCATGAGTCACGACATGATATCAATAACTATAATGAATTCCATTACGGAGTTACGAGCATGATTATCATAGGTATGTTGTGATTTAAGAATAATATGATTAATGATAAGGTGGGGATGTTATGGTTTCAATGAGTAAATATTTAAAAAATAAAGGTATGTAGGTATCAATCAACATAAAATGGTCTTTAAAGAATGATTTTATTTAGCCTAACTTATATGATCACTATTAACTATTAATGTTTTTTTTTATAATGATGAATACATCTCTGATAATAAGGAGTCAAATCCTATCATACAGATCATATATACTAAAGTTGGGGGTTTGACAAGAATGAAAGATGTTTTACTTAAAAAATGTCAAAATGGCAAAAGAAGATAAAAAAAGAAAAGGGTAGTGAAAGTGCTTACCCAATATAACAAAGTCTATAAGCTAATATATAATAAGGAAACCACTAAATTTCTTAAATTGATGAAACATAATGGCTACAACATGATTGATCGACTAAAAAAAACCTTGTATGGATATCCATACTCTCTGTTATCTTGAGTTTGAAATCTTATCAATTGGATCTCTAAGAGGTTTTTAATATAGCATATATTAATCAAGATATCATATAATTTCATAAAATATTTAATGAAAAGAATCCAAGCCACCAATTACCTATATTTTATAAAGATGAATCAGGTCTGAAATGTATTTGATACAATAAATTATTGCATATCACGATCAATATAAAGATTATGTTGTATCCAAAGTATTGATAGATAATGGTCCGCCTCTAATAAGCTTCCAAGAAACATCTTAGATTGTTTAATAGTTGATGTATCCCATATAGATCTAAGTAACATAATGGTGTTGTCTTGTAATGGTTCATTAAGACAAGTGATTGGTGACATCAATGTATGTTGGTGATTGAGCCATAATAATTTTAGGTCACTCTATAAGTAATTTATATTCAACCTTTCTATAATATATTATTAGGATGACTCTAGATATATGTTGTGGGAGCAACATAATCATCTTTGTATCAAAGGCTCAAATATATAGTAAATGAAAGGTTAATAATTATAAAAAAGAAAGAGATTTTATTTATAATGAAAAATATGCTAGTACTTTACATAAAAGTTAAGAGGAAAAACAGATGGAGATATTCATGCTTTCAAGGTTATGAATACAGATTTGGTGATTGAGAACAAATTGTTTAGAAAGCCTAAGATTTTAAAAGCTACTAAAATAACTACTAAATACCATATAAAGTATGAGTTACTATTAAGCTAAGCTATTTTACTAAACTTTAACTATGTTATTGTATTTATGTTTATTGTTTGTATTTAGTTAAAATATCCTTGCATTGGTATAAATATAAGGTTACTAGAGTGAATCAACTACATAACATGATAATCAATTATTAAGTAAAAGAATTACTTAAGGTTGAAGAAAATAAAATATAAGGTAGTAATGGCCTGACTTGAAGAGCATTATTCTAATGATAAAAAAGAATCAAAGTTTTTTTTTATATGAGAATGAGGGGTAAGTATGATTTTTTTTATTCCTACATATGTAATAAAATGGCATCACTTAGTAAGTTTTTATTATAAAGAGATCTTTTACAGTAATTTTAATAATCAATAAATGTATATTAAAAGGTATTGAAAAGGATAAAACCTTAAAAAATTTAACTAATAATATTTTTTACAAAATAATTTTGTTTATTAATTTTATCTTTCCAATTTCAAAAATTCACTATAAAGTCTTCTAATCTATGTATGATTATTGATTCCATTCAAGTTGTATTTTCCCCCTTAAAAAGTGATATTATTTTGTAAGAATCCTAGCAAAAGGCTCCATTAAGAAATCAAAATTGTTACAAAAATATGTTAACTAAACTTGGGAGTAAATTAAGAAGTAGTTCCATAATTTAAAGAAAGACAAATTAAATAGTCCCTCTAATTTCAAAAACTAATTAATTGGTTTCTATATTCCTAAATCTATTTATAACTTAATCATTTTTTTTGTCTATTTCACGGTTCCTCCCTAATTTATGCAATATTTTTTTAAAATAGAAGAAAAAAATAGAAAATATAAAAAAATTGATGAGAAATGAAAATAAAATTATTGGAACAAAGTAATATTCAATTAAAAACCATAAAAATTGATAAAGGGACTAATTAATTATGAAATTACAAAATAATTTAACTTAATTTCAAATAGTTATAGGATTAAATTATAGTTTACTCATAGCTTGAAGGTATTGTTTAGGTTTGTAAAAAAAATTGACATCACAAGTCATAAAATAATTGTTAAATATCTTATCTACTTTACCTTATTGGTGTATGGCATTGATGTTAAATTCTATCTCCATACCTTCTTATCCATCCTCAACAACATATTGAAAAAAAACAAATGTCAAATTCCAAACCATGCTATGAAATTTAATTTTATAAATCAGAAAATTACTTCAAGAACTTTTAACTTTCACTGATTTTAGTTATTCCATAAATAGAGGAGGATTTGGCTTTCTTCATGCTCATAAATGTTCATTTTCTTCCTCACTGGCTCTACTAAGGTGGTTTCACAAAAAACCCTAGGTAGCTGATGCAACTTGTCTTTTGTTTCTCTAGGTTCTGATATTACATTATAATCGTTTCATTTGAAATAACAAGGCAAGAAAATGCTTTTGTTTTAGTAATCTTGAGTTGATGTTGAAGCATTGTAGAAAATAATTATTGCACTTGTAATGGCATTTAGATTTATCGAAAAGAAGATGATTACAAAGCATGTTGATGCCTAGAGGATGTTTAGTAATGTGCTGAGACATGGGTGATCTCTTCTTTCTATATTTCATCCACCTTGTTATCTTTTTCGTATCCCTTTCTCTCATCTTTCTGGTCTACAAGAAGAAGTCCTCCAACATCAAGTTTCCTCATGGAAGAACAAGATGGCCAATCATTGGGGAAGCATGGGGATTTGTGATGGCAGGAAAATGAGGAACTCCTGAAAAGTTCTTGAATGATAGAATGAAAAAGTATTCTACAAGGGTTTTTCAAACTTCCTTTTTTAGGATAATATGCTATGTTCTATAGTGCTCTAGGGAACAAGTTTATGTTCTTAAATGAAAACAAGCATGTCGCTACCCGGTGGGCACGTACAATAAAGAAAATCATCTATTTTCCTGAGCATGTTGATAACTCTTCCATAGAAGAGACTACTGAGTTGTGCAGATTTCTACCCGAATTTCTTAAGCTAGAAGCTTTATAGCATTACATTCCTATTATAGATTCTATGGCTAGGGAGCACTTGGAGATAGACTAGCATCCACACAAATAAGTTAGAGTGTTTCCACTGTCTAAAAAGTAGACATTTGCACTAATAGGTTGTTTATGAGAATCAGGGATCCCGACCATGTAACTAGACTTACAAATCAGTTCGCTCTAGTTATAGATGGTATAATTTCAGTTCCTATAAATTTTCCTAGTACAACTTACAACAGGGCAATCAAAGGAGGCAAAATGATTTGTGAAGTGTTGTTAGCAATTATGAAACAGAGGGAAGAAGAGTTGATATCAGACAACAAAGATGACATGAGAGCTATTGATTTATTAACTCGTATGCTAATTACATCAAATGATAATGAGAAAACTATGAATTATAAAGAGATTACTATCTTACCCAACACCCCTGTATCTATTACAAGGTTTTGAAGGGTATGATATTTCTCTCCATCCTATTATTGTTGTTGAATATTTTCACTATCATTCATGATGATAATTTATCTGGGATGTCTAATGCCTTGTTTTTGGTATTAATTCCTAAATACAATTCTTTTCATTTTATCAGTTTAAAAGTTTATGATAATACTTATTCTTTATGTATAAGTTTTTTCAGTATATAAAGGAGAATTAGTATAACTGCTCTAAAGTATAATTGAATACAACTCAATGGTGTTTGCTTTACAGAACAAACAGAGATTGCAATGTTTAAAGCTCCAGGAGAGTTATTAAATTGGAATAATATCCAAAAGATGAAGTATTCGTGGTGTGTGGTTTGCAAGGCGATGAGGTTTTCTTCGCTTGCTCAAGGAGCTTTCAGAGAGGCTATAACTAATTTCTTTTATGCTGGTTTTATCATTCCAAAAGGATGAAAGGTGAGTATTAGTTAATGTCAAGTGCTTGAGGACTAGTTCCTGATGAATATTTTGCTTACTATAATTAGAGATGATCCCTTTTGCTTATTAAAAATTGAAATGATGAAAATTCTTGATATTGCTTATTGGAAGAAGAACACAACCTCCTGTCAAGCTAGAGCTTGTGGCTTAGTAATGAAGAAAAAGTAGTTGTGTAATGCCCATCCAAATTACATAGCAACTTTATTATGATTAATGAAGTTTAATATTTTTGTATCCGTCAACCTGCAGGTTCATTGAAGTGTGCATTCTACATATAAAAATCCCAAATATTTTCCAAATCCAGAGAGATTTGATCCTTCAAGATTCGAAGAAAGCAGCCTTACACCTTATATTTTTGTTCCTTTTGGAGGAGGTCCTCGCATGTATGCAGGAAAAAAGAGTGCTCGGTTGGAGATTCTTGTTTGTATGCACAATATGGTAACGAAATTTAAATGGGAAAAAATTATTCTAGAAGAGAAGGTTTTGGATATTTCATTTCCCATGCCCGTAAATAGCCTTCCAATTCTCCTCCAACCTCATTCCACAAGCCTCAAGTAGATAAACCATTGGTGCTTAGGTAAAACTGGTCATGGTTATAACTATAATCAAGAATGGATAGATAAGCAGAATAACATTATATGTGGTTTTATTGTTGACAAAGTTGTTGGATGTGTGCAATGTCGCGATAATCATATTTTCAAATTAAAATCTTTATGATGATGAAAAATGTGGAAAAGATAAGGAATTCTTGTCATTTATTAGTAAAAATAAAAAATATGAGTTGCTATTTGGTATTTTGGTCATTATGAACTACAACTGGTCTCCAAGTCTGGTAATTAATACTTAAAAATGTATTTTTATAAAGGTTTTATATTAGCATTTTGCACTTGAAGTATTAATATTTCCTTAACTAAAACATGTTTTATAATAAGAAGTCTGATACTATAAGATACCTTTAATTTATGATAAATATTCATCTTAAATACAAGCCTATCACATAAATTAAAAGATTGATTGATGAGTTCAACTACTGAAATTGAGAAGACAGAGAGAGGGTGAAGCTTAGAAAAGTAATACTGGTTTGGTCTAAAATGAAACACTATTCAGTCATTAGGTTATATCTAGATATTTGTTTGAAATATCATTATTGGATCCTCTAACATTGATATTTTTTTTTATCATCATTTAATTCTCATATTAATCTTACAATCTCAAAGTCCTCTTTAACTTATTATTATTATTATTGTTACTATTATTATTACTATTACTATTATTGTTGTTGTTATTTATAGTTTATATAGATAATTTCCTTGTAATTTGATCTTAGTCTTGCTGGATTATTTATTACTTCGATACTCTTACATTTGAGAGAAGACATCAATCTTTTGGTCTTGGTATAAGAAAAATATAATTGATTAAGTTTTTATGACTTTAATACATTAGTTATTAAATCCAATATATATGAAAAATAAAAACTAATTTTGTTGATTTTTTAGTATTTAAAGATGTTAAATCATGCCATGTATTTCTTTATTTTTTTATGCAAATATAATTTTTATTTAAGAGACTTGCTATATACAATAAAAATATTTAAATATATTTTTTAAAAGAAAAATTTTATTGTTTTTGTGGAAGGATACTGATTTGTTTAATACCGGAAAAATACCTTGTGTGGAGGTCACAATTCTAAATATTAAATATAGGAGGGTAAAAAGAGGTTGGGAACTCAAAATTAATTGTAAAATAATCTTTTAAAACTTTTAAAATTTATTAAAATTAGACTATGACATAAAAATGAGAATTTTGTTGGGATGTGATTGCCAAACAAACCATACAGACTCCTTAAAAATTGTGTTTTTCTTTGATAAATTCCTGTTAAGCCGAACATGGCTTTAAGCTTCTTGTAGACCTAACCTAAGCCCTATAGACGGGTTCTTTAACATAAAAACAAACTTGACCGAAATGGGCTAAAGAATTAAATGGCCCAACCTTCCTTTCAAAGCAAAAGATATTGAAAACCCAAATCCATAAACAAAGAAACAAGGAAGCCCTAACGTTTTTAAGATCAAACCAAAAATTATACCATCACCTCTCTCTCTTTTTTCCATAATACTTGAAATATGTGCAAACTTTTTTCATTATATTATTTCTTTACCAAACAAGAACAATTAAATGGTGTCATGACTATTTTTAAAAACAAAAACTACATGCCTCATGAACTTTGCTACGCTGGTTTTGGGAGACTGCAACGCTGCTGCTACTATTGCTGTACAAGGTGCAGAAGGATTGCTGGAGAGAACGCTAATGAGGTTTGATAATGAAGAAGATTTTCTGTTGCTGGAATGAAATATATTCTCTGCTAGCAATGGCGTGATTAATGCTCATGGTGTAGAGTATGTGACACCACTGAACTACACAGAGCCTTTTATAAGGCTGTGGGGGGTTATAACTTAGGTTAAAATTTTTTGATAAGCTACTTTTCCTTTTAATTTTTATATAAACCTAGCGTTCCCTTTTTCCTTGCAACAACAGCCATTAACCATTAGCTATTTTTCTTCTCAACAATATACAATTTTGCTTGAATTTTGAAGAAGAATTTATAAAGAGAGCTGTAAAAATGTAAAATCATCAGGTAAGAATTTACAAGCCCCAACTTTTTATTTTGAATTTAATGTTTCACATTAATTATAGTAGATTGTTAGTGGAATAAACAATAGACTATACCCTAAAAATTAATTCATGCTAGCACACTAGTAGTATAGTACTTATAATTTAATGGTTATTTCAAAGTTAAGTTCTCCAAATCTTTTAGTAGTTTGCATCACTAGTTTATCATTGTATATTCTGCATGTAATATTCTATTATGGCATTAGTATCTTTTCATCTTGCACCTAACTTCCCTAATCTATTTTGCTTGAATATGTTATAAATTATAATGGAAAATCAAGGAAACAAGAGAGGAAAAACTATGTTTTCATTCTTTAAACCAAACAAACAAACATCAACCAGTAAAACACATTCTCCTTCCAATGTTGGTGTCTCAAATCATAGTTAACAACCCTCTTTCAAATCTTAAAGAGTTGAAATTGATGGTAGTTGTCACGGGGTTAAATTTTTCGCAACACAATTCAACCCAATGCGGCAGTCTAGTCCCAAACTAAACTCAGCCTTGCCTCCTATTTTCGCTCGTGTTTCCTACGACTATGTGTTTCGCTCACCCAACAAAGTTCCCACAATTGCCAAGTCGTATAAAAGAAACAAACACAAGCAAGCTGATTAGTACTTAAAAGTGCATTTTTATCATGGTTTTATATCATCATTTTGCACTTGAAGTATCAATAACTCCTTAACTAAAATATGTTTTATAATAATATATCTAATAATATAAGATACCTATAAATTGTGGTAAATGTCTATTTTTAATGCAGGTCTATCACATAAATGAAAGGATTGATTGATGACTTGAAGAACTTAAATTGCAAGGATAAAGAGATGGCCAAACTTAGAAAAGAGATGTCGGTGCAATCCAAACCGGAACACTGTTCGGTAATTGGGTCATATCTAGAGCTACAGATCTCAGATTTAGGTCCAATTTATATGGATAGAAAGGTAAGACATAGGCCTACAACTTTCATATGGAGCCCAAGATCTAAAAAGGCCATTATCAAGTCCAAATTGTAGCAACAACAAAGAAGCCCGAATCTGTCTTCCAGCCCGAGCACTGTTCGGTATTTTGGCCATATCTGGAGTTCTAGAAGTCCAAATGAGCTGAAGTTTTTACACAAGAAAGCTGAGACAATTGCCTACAACTTTCATGTTTACAACTGGCTCCAATTTTGACGTTATCAATGACGTTTTGGGCAGACAAGAGAAGATAAGGATTGTCACCAAGTCAAAAGTTGGTCACCCACTTATCAATTAGTCATCAAATCAATAGTTCCCAATTTTGGCCTATAAAAGGAGGCATTTGCCATGCATTTAGGCATCTTGGTGTTCAGATCAAGATCATGCTCTTCCTTTCTCTCTTTGTATTTTTTATGCTTTGTTTTCATTAATATTAAGTTTATGCCTTTCATTTCCTTTCCTTTACTTAGTTAACTTTTATGTTCTTATTTTGTTTATCTATTTTGCTTTCTTTCATTATGTCTAGCTAAGTTAATTATGTCAAGGTGAAAAGGTTACACTAATGGTGTAAGAATAAGTATAATGTAAACTTAATATGGACTTTAATGTTTGATACTAACATGTTTTATATTTGCTATCTTGTTCACTCTTTAATACTTTGCTTGTTAAATGACTAATCTTGATTTATGTTGTATAACACTTGGTACAACAAATGCTTGGCACTTTCATAGCCCATAATGTATGGTATAACCGACACCTGAGCTATGAAAGGAACTTGATTTGTTGTTAACATAAGTTATAATCATGAATGCTTGACGAGATTTACAAGTATTAGCATTAATTGAATAAGATGACTAATGTAATCATGTTAACAATATATAATCTGATTGGAACCTCCTTTGTGTGTGGTTTCCAATTCAATAATAAGAGTTTATACTATACTTGTTTGATATACCATTAGTGGAACCTCTAACCTTGACATTTGTTATTATCATTGTTTAATCGTTACATTAATATTCCATCTCAAAGTTCTCATCATCTTCTTCTTCTTCTCTTTCTTTATTATTATTATTATTACTACTACTACTACTACTACTACTACTACTACTACTACTACTACTACTACTACTACTACTACTACTACTACTACTACTACTACTACTACTACTACTACTACTACTACTACTACTACTACTACTACTACTACTACTACTACTACTACTACTACTACTACTACTACTACTACTACTACTACTA